AAAGAGCTAGTGTCCCTGCTAGGGTCTTTAGGTGGGAAAGAGCTAGTGTCCCTGCTAGGGTCTTTAGGTGGGTCTGCTCTGTATAATATTGATGGGAAGGAGAGGCCTTTCTCACTCTGTCCTATGCTGTGCACTGACGTACACCACAGCAACTATGCCAACATACACCAAAACCTAGTCCCCAAGTAATGGATCTGCAAAAAAAATGTTATTTTATTATACTTCATTATCTACTTAGTAGACAACTTGCTGGAGTTGGTTCTATCCTTTCACTATGTGGGTGAAAGAATGAGGTGAACTCAGGCTCAGAAGCTTGGGCTCAAGTGCCTTTATCCTCTGAGCCATCTTGCCAACCCCTGTGGGATCTCTCCAAGGCATTATCACATTGGTTCCTTCCAACCCCACTGGCCTTTACTGAGAGCCCAGAGTCCCATTCAACAGTTTACTGCTAGGCAACTATTCTGAAGATGGATAGATTATAATTTCAGTCACAACCTTTGCACGCAGAATGCAAGTCTGTGGTTCTTTGTTTTAAACCCTCTACATCTGTATTCCTACTTCATGGACGCACATTATATTAGAAATAGAAGCATTGAGGACCTTGGCTATATTTTATCATTGAGAGGTAGGATCCAAAGTTTGGAGACCAAACATACTTGGTTCTAGTTGTCTTTGGACTTATGCCACTGTTTTCTCAAGAGCTAAATGGGCACCCAACTGGCCTTTTTTTTATTTTTGAATAAAAATCCATCCAAAGCTGACTACTGACCCTTCCTACTATCCTAAAACTGCTCTCCCTAAGTCTTTACATTCTTACCACTGAGCCACACCCCAGACTCTCACTGGGGAATTCTAGGCAGGGGCTCTACCACTGAGCCACACCCCAGCCCCTCACTGGGGGATTCTAGGCAGGGGCTCTACCACTAAGCCACACCCTAGTCTCTCACTGGGGGATTCCAAACAGGCACACTACCACTGAGTGCCACCTCTAGCAAGCCCTTTTAGAATTCTTACTCATCTCAGTAGACACCTTGGCATCACCCATGACTCCACTCTCCTTTATCATCAGCGAATTCAGTTAGCTCCACCAACTTTCACCACATCCACAGCTGTCACCCAGACAGTGACTAGCAGACTGTCTCCCTCTGCCTACTAAGTAACTGCTCTGTTCAAAATGGTGCTCCACCTTTGAGAAAATGCCCAAGTTGTACATGGCTTGCTGGGTTCTCTCTATCTCCCCCATATTCACAATCATTCCAGGCCTCCCTGCCCCACATACTGGACTGCCAGTTACTGTCCACCTGCCCGGAACCCTTCCTACATGTGATCTACGCTTTCTTCTGGCCTTCGCTGAAATGTCACATTCCCTGACACTGGGCCCGTGACTGTGAGATGGCTCAGCAAATAAAAGCACTTGCTTCAAAAGCCTGAGGACATGAGTTCAATCTCTAATCTTCCCCACATGGTGGAAAGAGAGAATGGACTCCAGCAAGTGTCCTACTCCCTCTACCATTTACACACATGCATGTGCACGCACATACTTACACACAAACACACACACCGCCCTTCCCTTCAATTAAAAATAAAATCTGAACTTCTTTTCTTGTCAACCCCTACTTGCTCCTCTGGGGCTCGTTACTAGGACACTTTATAACAGGAGACAACAGCATATCTACTACAGAATTCTGGGGCTGATGGTCGCCAAAGTTGAGTGACCCGAGTTCAAGTTCAAGTCACAGGACCTACATGTCAGAAGATGAAAACCACCTTGTCCTTACCTTCACATGTGAACATAGTACACACATATGTGCATATTAATAATTTTTAAAATTTTAAATAAAAATACAGAAGTCTATACTTTGCACAGTGCATAGATGCAACCTCCAAAATCCAAATGGAAGCTGGGCATAGTGGCCCACATTTCTAATCCCAGCACATAGTAAGTATAGAGGCAGGTGGATCTCTAGTTTGAGAACAGCCAATTCTACGTACAGAGGTCCAGGCCAGCCAAGGTTGTACAGTGAGACTTTCTAAAAACAAACAAACAAAAAAACCAAGCAAACAAACACAATTGGGCTGAACCTGGGTAGGTGGATCAGTGGTACAGAACTTGCTTAACAGGCTCCTCTGTGCATGAACACACACCAACACTCCGTCACATTCTTCACCATCTCTGCTGAGCTAGCCCTACTCTACTCCTCGGCATCCATCTTCATCTCTACCCTACCAATTAACTTACTCCTCACCCAGCCCAGGCACCTTCTCATTCATCTTGGTATCTCAGCACCCAGGGCCTTGTATATGCCTAGCAAGTGTGTACCACCAAACTATGTCCCTATAACTTTGTTTTATTTTGAGACAGAGTCCTACTACATTAGTCAGGCACCTGCCTAAGGTCCTGGGAACTAAACTCTGGTCCTCTGCTAGATTAGTAAGCACTTTTAACTGCTGAGCATCTCTTCCAGCCCCCTGTATCCTTATTTTTCAATGAATTGATTGAATGGGAAGCAGGAGACATGACCTAAATGACCAGAAATCTGGAGTCCCCTCAAATTATCAGTTTCCTTTTGGGTTATGGTAATTATTTCTGAAGCCTTGGTTGTATCGATTTTGCTAGAGATTTGTAAAGCTTCTGGGCATGATCCTGACATGCACTAGTTAAAGAACCACTGTCCAAGTAGAAGATGACTAAAAATAACTTAGCCGTAGGTGTCCAAGGCCAAGTCTACCCAAAGCAGGGATGATCCTCCAAGAATTCGTAAGAGAAAAAGGCTCTAGTGGAGGAGATGGTTTAGTGAATGAGAGCCTAAGGAGCTGAGTTCAAATCTCCAGTTCTCCAGCTTGGCAGGTTCAGGCAAAGGCCTCATTCCAAAGAAATAAGGTCTAGAGCAGCGGTTCTCAACCTTGCCAATGCTGCAACCCTTCAAAAAGTCCCTCATGTTGTGGTGGCAATCAATCAGAAAATTACTTTTGCTTCTACTTCATAATTATAATTTTCTACTGCTATGCATGGTGATGCAAATATCTCACATGTGACCTCTGAACGGATCGTTTGATCCCCAGGTTGAGAACGGCTGATTTAGAGTGATGGAGCAGCGCACCCGATGTCCTTCTCTAGCCTCTGCACACACATGTGCACATACACCACATTTTTGAAAAACGAGGGATGGGGGTGGAGAAATAGTTCATCGGTTAAGAGCACAGGCTGCTATTCCAGAGGACCCAGATTCAATTCCCACCACCCACATGGTAGTTCCAAACTGTCTGTAACTCCAGATCCAGGGAAACTGACATTTTCACACCAAAACAGGTAAAAAAGCAAATAAATTGTTTAAAAAAAGAAAAAGAAAAACGAGGCGTAACGGTGCGTGCCTTTATCCCCAGCACTGGAGAGGCAGAGGCGGATCTCTTCAAGACCAGCCTGGTCTAAATAAATAAAGAAAATAATCTCTTAGGGGAAAAGCCACGGAGAGTTGTCAGGAGCGTTGAATTTCAATCAATTCTGTTAACCTACTGTAACCTTGACTCCGTTCTCTATCCTGAGAGCCTCAGGATGCCTGTACTATATAGTTAATGTCACCCGTTATTTCTCCTGCTCACGCTACAAGGAGAAAATCAGTTATGTCGAAGTAATGCAAAGTTGCACATAATGCAATTTGCTTCCGGACTGAGAGCTTTGGCTTCTGTACCTACAGAAAACGCAGACTTTAGGGGGAAACCCGGCCCGGTTCTGCCCCTCTCCCAGGTTCTCCCACACAGGATGTCAGTCGGGACATGAGCCGGGAGGCCCTGATGTTCAGGATGAGCCTTGCGGGTTGAGAACCCGCGCGTCCCCGGGATGCACGCGCGCCCCAGAGTTCCCCGCTAGGCTGGCAGCCCCTCGTACCTGGGCCGAAGTGCTGAAGCTGCGGCGGAGAGCGGCGCCGGCAGGTCGGGCGAGAGCAGACAGCATGGCTGGGGCGAGTTGGACACAGACTTGCAGGAGAATAAGCTAACTGTGGACAAGTGACTCCAACGACCTCCACTTTATGCAGTGTCCGCCCGGCGCAGAGCCACCAGATCTCGCGAGAGACACGCCGGGCTCCGCGCCACCAAATGTCGCGAGACAGGCTCGGCTAAGCGCAGCCAACTAACAAAAGGCCCGGCCCACTTCCGAGATCTCGCGAGAAAAGCCTGACGTTGCTTCGCCCGGTCGCTCGTAAGGAATCCCTTCTGAACGCCTCCCACTTATAAGATCTCGCGAGAGAGGCTCGTCCGGTCTCCTCCCCGCCCACTTTGAGGCTCGCCCGCTAGGACGGTCACGTGAGTTAGACAGACTCGCGGGAACGCCCCTAGCAACCCGGTGAGTGGAGGGCTTGAGGCGCTCTACCCAGAGCGGGAAGACAGGCGCTAGGTTAGAAGCGCCTTCCAGGAGCCGTTTCCCAGGTGGGGCTCCGGACACGTCCTGCCGGGGAGCCCGACCAAAGTCGCGCAGCAGGTCAGGCGGCCCCCGAGCCCCTGACTTCAGTCGAGGAGCGAGGCTGGAGGGGGTTCTGGGGAGACGAGGAAAGTCCCGGGGCCGGGTGGGCAGCATTTCCCCACTACGCCGGTCAGTCCCTGTCATTCCCACAAGTTGCACGGAACCTTGCTGAGTTTCCAGGCTTCGCACACACCCTGCTGGTATTAGCAAGTTCTAGCACTGACTTAGCAACAGGTGATGCGGAGGACCACCATCCTGTGGTGTGGAGGAGGAAACGTTTGGAGACTGTAACTCGGCCTTTGACCCCATCTCTACCCCCCTCGAACCCGCCAGTAGTGCGAGTGAGGGTAAACATTTTAAAGTTTACCGGGCGGTGGTGGCGCATGCCTTTAATCCCAGCACTCAGGAGGCAGAGGCAAGAGAATTTCTGAATTCGAGGCCTGCCTGGACTGCATGGTGAGTTCCAGGACAGCCAGGGCTCCATAGGGAAACTGTCTCGACACCCCCCCCCCCAAAAAAAACCCCAATATATCACGGCTATAGAGAGGTGACTCAGTGGTTAAGAGCACTTGCTGCTCTTGCAGAGTTCAGAGCCTTGAAAAATTACCAGGTGTCGCATAACTTCCTTAACTCTAGCTCCAGGGATAGCCATCACCTCTGGCCTCCGTCGGTACCTACATTCACGTGCACATACCCACAGAGACAAAAACGGAATTAAAGATGATAAAAATGTAAAATTAAGGGTCAGTAGACAACACCTGAAGAATGACAGCTGAGGTTGACCTCTGGTTCATACACATGCACATGCACACACGCCACATGTTCCAGATCATAACCAGGTGTGAAGGTTCACGTCTGTAATCCTAGTACTCAGGAGGCTGCAGGAGGAGGATTATTGTGAGTTTGAGGTCAGCCTGAAACGCTGTTCAAAAAATCCAAAACAACAACACACAAAATGTTCAGGATCTGGGAGTAGGGAAGGGACTGGATAGGAGGGCATGGGGTTGGGTTTGATTAAAACACCTTATACATATGTGAAATTCTCAAACAATAAAATATAAGTTCGGTGTTCTAGCTCAGCTTGAGCAGGTCTATAATACCAGGTTCTTGAAGGTTGAAGGAGGGTGGTATCAAGTTCAAGGTCTGCCTGGGTCAAGTAGGGAAACCTTGTCTCAAAATAGAAAATAAAAGGAGGGTACAGCTCAGTGGTACTTTCCTGCTAGTCTACCCCAGTCACGTCGGCACACACACACACACACCAGTTCAGTTTGAGGGGCAGACAGTCGTGCCATAGCCTGCTGCCTCCGTGGACGACTATAACACCTACATCAGTGACAGTCTGCCTGGGGACAGTGACAGAATGCCAGAGTTGGGGTAACAAACGACATCAGAGCTTAAGAACATACCAACACGTAAAAGTTTACAATGACCATCTTGCTCTCCCTTCCCTGGCCTCCACCTCTTTGCTGGATAGGTAATGTATACTACCGGCCCAGTCTTGGAGCTGGGGATGCCTTCTCTGGTTCTTTACTGCCTTTAGGGAGTTGACTCGAGTGACATCGGGGCAACAGTTGGAGAAATGACCCAGTGCTATGGGAACCTGGGGAAATAGGTTTGAGTGGAGGTCATGTTAATGAACCTTCTAAGCCACCTAAGCTGAGACCTGCCAGAAGAATGGGTCGATTCTAATGGAACCCCTGGAGGAGGGAGGCGTCTCTTCCAGAAACTTGCCTGGAATTAGTGGGCTGGTGAGATGACTCAGTGGACAAAGAAGCTTGCTTGCCAAGCCTCACAACCTGAGTTCAAACCAGGACCCACACAGTGGAACAAGAGAACCAACGTGCTGTTGATTCTTCAGTAGTGGGAAGTATGTAGGCAAGGGAACAGAGGAGGCAGAAAAATGTAGTCTGTATTTAGAGACACATTCTTTCTGTTGGGGTAGAGATGTTTGGGTAAGCACTGACTTTGATCTTGTCTCCTTTGTCAGCTAGGGGTCAAGAGCTATGTATTATTATTAAAAGTAGCAGTAGTAGTATTTACTTTTGTTTTTCAAGACAGGATTTCTCTGTGTGTAGTCTTGACTGTCCTGGTCACTTTGTAGACCAGACTGGCCATGAATTCAAAGATCCACCTGCCTCTGCCTCCCAAATATGCCACCACTGCCTGGCTTTTTTTTTTCTTTCTTTCTTGGTTTATTGAGACAGATTTTTCTCTGTAGCTTTGGACCCTGTCCTGGAATTCACTCTGTAGACCAGGGTGGCCTTGAACTCACAGAGATCCACCTGCCTCTTCCTCCTGGGTGCTGGGATTAAAGGTATATGCCACCATCACCTGACTGGATATTATTATTTTTAAGGCCGTTTTTCATATACCCAAGGCTGTCTTTAGACTTTTGGTGTAGTCAAGGATGGGCCTTGAACTCCTGATCTTCCTGCCTCTAGAGTGTTGGGATTACAGGCTTGCACAACTATACTCAGTTTATGCAGTGCTAGTTATGGAATCTAGGGCCTTGAGAACAATAGGCAAACACTGTACCCACAGAGTTCATCTCTTTTTCTATTTGTCTGACTTGAGACCATTCTGAGAGTGGGCCTCATTGAATTCGGTTAGAGCCAAGGGAGTTAGAGGAGGTTGGAAACATCAGATGATTCAGGGCGCCCGAAAACCAGTCAAGCAACTTGGATCTTCTTCCTTAGGATGTGTCCAGCAAGAGCTTTGAGACCATCACAAGCATGTTAGGAGGAAACAGGCTTGATTTAAATGCACAGGATCCCAGGGCCTGAGGGTAGCAGAGAATGAAGTGGCTGGGAGATTTGTCAGGGGAGACCACACAATGAGATGGCTAAGATGTGAAGGATGAGGGTAGCTGGAGAAGTGCAGAGGGTGGAACCAGTGCAAACAGGTCACAATGGTAGAGGGTAAGAGTTGTGGTTAACCAGGTCTGCAGCATGAATGACAGGGATGTAGAGTGGTCTAGGGTTGTACATTGGTTGGTAGAGAACTTGCCTAGTGTTCAATAAGTCTGGGATTGTATCCTTGGCACCTCATAAAGAAGACGTGCGTGTGGTGGTGCCAGCCTCTATTCCCAATTGTAGTAGGTAGACACTAGTTCATTTCCTGGCCACACAGACTCCCAAAATAATCACACAGAAGCTATATTTAAATCACTGCTTAGCCTATTAGCTTTAGCTTCTTATTGACTAACTCTTACATCTTAATTTAATCCATTTCTATTAATCTGTGTATCGCATGGCTGTGACTTACTGGCAAGGTTCCATCTGGTGTCTGTCTTTGTCAGGGCTACATGGCTTCTCTCGACTCTGCCTTCTTTCTCCCAGCATTCAGTTTAGTTTTCCATGCCTAGCTTTTTACTCTACTCTATCACAGGCCAAGACAGCTTCTTTATTTATTAACCAATAAAAGCAACACATATATAGAAGAACTTCCCACATCACCCAACAATTAAGAGGTACGGGCAGGAGGAGAGGAAGATGGAGAATTCAAGGTCATCCTTAACTCCATAAGAGAGTTTGAGGTTAGCCTGGGCTACTTGAGAACCTGTCTCAAAACTAGTGATAATAAAAAGGGATGTGGGTGTGCTAAAAGATAGCTCAATGGTTAAGAATTTGTACTGCTCTTGCAGAGGACATGATTCATTTCTCAGCACCTACTCAATTGCCTATGACTCTAGTTCTAGGGGGATCCAATGCCTTCTCTTGACCTCCTTTAGCATCTGTATTTACTTGTATTACTTACACATAAGCACACACACACATACAAGTGTACATGCATGCACAAAGACATAAATAAAAACAAAACTAAATCTTTTCAGTCAATCAGCAGAATACTCTACAGGCTTGCCACAGACCAATCTTGTGGGGGCATTTTTTTCAGTTAAGGTTCCCTCTTCCAAAATGACCCTGCTTGTTTCAAGCTGAGATAAAACTAGCCAGCATAACCACATAAACAGAGGATGGTAGTGCATGCAGGATTGTAGTCCCAGCACTCAGGAGGCCAGAGATGGCTTCAGGAGCATCAAGTTCAAGACCATCCTCTGCCTGCATAAAGGGAAGAGTCCTAGATTCTCAGGCTCCTCCCCTCTGTATCCTGGCTACACTTCTTGTCTAGGGAGGAGTGACTTCCTGCCTCCTATCTTCTCTATCCACTCTATCTGAAATGATTTAATAGTTGAAAAAAATTCTGTCCGCCTCTCTCAAAACCAAGTTATTGTTCCGATTTTGCATCCATCTGTGGCTCCATGGCAGGCTCTGTGCTCAGTGCTCCCCCTTCAGCATAAGCTAAGAAGGGGGATCTTGAGTTTGAGGCTCTGCTTTTAAAAAGCATAACAAAAGAGAAGGCAACTGTGAAGTCAACTCGAATCTTTACCAAAAAAAAGTTACATTTTTATTTATGTTCTGTACATGTGTGGGGCAGGGGGCATCAGAATATCATGGTTCGTGTGTGGAAGTCAGGGCAGTTCAGAAATGTGAGAATGTTGGGGTTTTTTTTTGAGAAATATGTTTAAAATTTGCTTTTATAAAGCACACTTGTACCCAACTGTACCCAAGTTAGTAGTGTGCTTGGAGATCATTTATACCTACTCCTTTTGCCTACACCCTGTGTACTCAACCTGATCAGAACCAACTGACCCCTGAGAAAATGATGTAATCCATCTCACTCTGCTTTGGACTCGCAATGCCTTTCACTCCCACAAGCTCAACTGAAGGCACAGCCTCAGTTGGACCATGTTTCCTGTTTCTTCTCTGTGACTCTCTCATGACCCTGTCCAAACAGTGTCTGTGTGGATGAGATGTGATGACCAGGTCATGGCCATGCCCTAGAAGCAGCTAGCTATTGAAAGCAGTGTCCATACGTAGGAACATGTGGATATAGCAGTGTCATCATCTCTGGCTGTGCCTTTGTGTGCTTTTCTGGGTCAGCAAGGCCAGAAGAAAGTTTTCTCCCTTATGAACCCTCTGTAAAAAAGGCTTCTTCATTTTTGTTACCATATCTGTTGTGTTGTTAATTATATAAAGAGGGCTCCTTTATTCTGGACCACTCTCTTAGACTTACATCTGAACAGGAGAGGCCGGCACTTCTGAATAGCAAAGGCCAGCAGAAGCTGTCTTTCTCTCCTTATGCAGGTTGTTTTCCCCTTCTACTATGTGAATTCTGGGAATCAAACTCAGGTCATCAGGGTTGGTGGCAGGCACCTTTGCCCCTGAGCCATCTCACCATTCTTTAAGTCGTTGCGGCATTTGGATTGTCCCTGGTTACCAGGTTTATCACAGCAGTCTAACATCCTCTTCACTGAGTTAATAAACTTTGAAGTTAATTCAATATTAGGACTCCATCACCAGGCCCCTTGGGTTTCCTGTTTTCTATACGTGCCTGCATTGGGGAACTATAGTATCTGGCTTTGCTTCTTCTTTATCTCTTCCTCAATTCTCTTCCCCACCCCAGGTGAATGGTGACTTCTGACCTCCCATTGCTGGTAGAGTGGGGTTAAAAGTAGTGGAAAGTTCTCATGCTGAGTTTGGGCTGACTCATTTCCCCACACAGTGCTTTCATGAATCTTGTCTGCAGTTCCCCTGGCTGAGCATGGTCATATGTCTTCCTGTCTTCAAAGCCATGGCCCATGGTTTCTCAAAATCTTCCACCAGTGATGATTGGTCCTTTGCTCCTTTAGGTAGTAAACCTCTGTGTATGTGTGCACACATAATATACATGCATGTAAAGGCCAGAGAGCAGCCTTAGTTGTCATTCTCAGATAATGTGCACTTTTGTTTTGCATCTTAAGACAAGGTTTTACTATGTAGCCCTGAAAGGCCTGGAACTCAATATGTAGATCAGGAAGCTCTGCCTCCTAAAGGTTCCAAAACAGAACTACTAGCTGGGGACCAGGTATTCAAGTATGTAGGCCTATGGGAGCCATTTCACACCAAAGCATAATAACAAAGACAGGGGAAAACAGAAAGCAAGAAGCCCCACTGACAGCAATTAAATTAGCATCCCCTGATGAGTTGGGCTCAGATGACAGCGCTAGAGATGGATAGAGCTGACCAGCTTGGACTCCATTAAGAGGTGAAGTTTATAGGTAGTATGGGAGGAAGTAGGAGGGAACTAGGTCTATAATAGGAGGACTGCAGTGACTGGGCAGGAAATGGTGCTGTTTATGACTAAAAAATAACCAGGTGTTAGGGATGCGGCATATATGTGTATAAGTTTTGGCATGGCAGTTTGGGTGGGGTTAGAGAGACAGCTCAGTTGATAAAATACTTGCCATCCAAGTCTACAGACCTGAGTTCAATTTCTAACACTCATATAAAAAGCCAGATGATATGTGTACACATGCATGTACACACGCACACATGCATGCATACACACACACACACACACACACACACACACACACGTAGACATAAGTTTTCATCCCACCCGATCCTGCAGCTATTCAATCCCAAAGAAACATACAGAGGCTTATATTAATTGCAAATTGTTTGGCCTATTAGCTCAGGCTTTTATTAACTCGTTCTTACAACTTAAATTAACCTATAATTCTTGTCTATGGTTAGCCACATGGCTTGGTACCTTTTCTCAGTAATACATTCTCACCTTGCTTCTTCTGTGTCTGGCTGGTGACTGCATCTCTACCTTTCCTCTTCCCAGAATTCTCCTAGTCTGGTCACCCCGCCTATACTTCCTGCCTGGCTACTGACCAATCAGCATTTTATTAAACCAATACAAGTGACAAATCTTTACAGTGTACACGAGCATTATCCCACAGCACTTCCCCTTTTTTCTTTTCAAAACAGAAACTCTGAATCTAATTTCCTTTGTTTAGCTTTTTTCCTGACCGTTATCCATAACAACTTGTAACCAACACCCTAAACAAAGACAAACATCCATAATCCATTTTGGGGGAATATGGGTGTGGTTTTCTGGCTATTTCCTGCTGATAATCTTATGGAAACCCAAAGAAAATTTAGGATTATGGTCAAGTCCTGACTGTAGTATTCTATGGGTATTCTCAAGCAAGCAGTCTTGCAGCTGTTCTTGATACAGAACTCAGAAGAAACTGCAACAGAGGTGCTCTGAAACATTAGATCATCTGGGCTATCTGTTCCCATTGGAGAATTTTCAGGGGGGTCTTCATTGATCAAGCCTTGTTTTTCTTAACTAAAAATGAATTCACAGCCTCTCATTTTCTGTGTAAACAAAGCAAAACCTCTTCTCCAAAGTAACATATCCTTTGTTTTAAATTTTGAAGTCAAGGCATTTAAAAATATACAGGTTGGATTAATCCAGCAGCAATTTATAATCAAATGTCTTTTAGTAGCAGTTTCTCCTTCCTCGGCAGTCAAATAATTCAAAGATAACAACATACAGTATCCATAATCTCTGTGTATTTTTCATCTTTATGTGGCTTTTCTTACTCTATTTCTTTTTTAAGGACCTTTTCTATCCTTTTTCTTTTCCAAGCCTACATATATTTTTAAACATACTGTAAACCATTGAGAGTTTTTTTTTTTTATCTGAATCTGTCTTTGCTGTAAATCTTTTTCTGACCACATGAGTCTTTAATCTGCTAAGTGGCATAGCTAGGATTAAAGCGGAGGCTTTGGCAGCTGACTCAGCCCCTTCCTTGGCTTCCTGAGAGTCTAGCTTCATGGTGGAAGTATTGGCAGGAGCAACATTTATTGCCATAGCTCTGAGGAATTTCTAGGTCTGTACCACCACCAAGAAGCGTGCTGCTGGCTGCTCATAAACACAGTTTAAGTGTTTGGTGACAGGGCCTGCCTCTTAAAAGAACCACCATGCAGTTTTTGAGAGCTATTAACATATCTCGGGCAGGGCATTTATTTGTCTAATATTCAGGGGCCCTAGGCTTAATTCCTAATACATGCATACACACACACATACAAGCATAGAGAGAGAGTCAAATAGTAACTATATCATACTTAATATTATATGACTGCATAAATCATAATGACTTTTGCATATTTATATATAATATATGCATATTCATATGTTGTGATTTATACTTGCTTGGCAAGCACTTTGTCAATTGAGCTACAGCTCTAGCCCCTTCTAATTTTTGAAGTGTTTAATTCAGTTTCTCATTTTCTGGTCATTTGTCTAAGAAAGATGTGTTAACTAGTGCACTGTTGATTCTTCCCAGTAGGATGGCTGAGTTGCTCTTCTGTGAGCCAACAGAACTCTATAACATCTTGAATCAGGTCTCAAAACTGTCCAGACTAGCTGAGCCCAACTACCTCTGTTTACTGGGTAAGTGGAAAACAGCATCACACCAACCCAAACACACATACCAACATCAACGTACAGACACACAACACATACACCAACACACACAGAAACACTCCAAAACAAACACCCACACACATAGCCAACTAACCACACACAGTTAACTAATGGGTATGCTGAGAACAGTGGCCTGCAAACCTTCCTTTTTAAGGTTAACAAAGTTTCAGGAGGGGGAGATGAATGGCGTTAGAAAGTAATTTTATTGTTTTGTTCAAAATACTGCCTGTGATTGATTAGGCTCAGTAGATAAAATACTTGTCATGCAATCATGAACACCAGAGTTTGATCTCCAGCACCATATAGAAGTCAGTTGGTTTGGCAGCCTGCCTGTAATCCTAGAACTCAGGAGGGGAAGATGGGATACACTGGGCAAGCTGGCTAACAAGACTCGGTGAAAAGGTGAGCTCTGGGTTCAGTGAGAGACCCAGTCTGAGAAAATAGGGTGGGGAACAATTGAGGGAGACACATGGGTATTTGCACACACATGTACATGTACCCTCACACACTCTTATGCACATGCTTATATACACACACCACACACATGCACATATGAACAAAGGAAAGCAATGCTGCTATTGAATGTTTTGCTACTTGAAAGATAATTCAAGATTAGATTAAGGAATGTTCCTCACAGCATGGTAGTGCAGGCTGGTGGTCCCAGCACTAAGACTTTTCAGGCTCCCTGGGTTACATGGTGAGACTCTGTTTCAAAGAAATGAAGAGGTCAACTGGATGGTGGGGCATGCTTTTAATCCCAGCACCTGAGAGGTAGAGGCAGGTGGATCTCTGTGACTGGGAGGCTAGCCTGGTCTACAGAGTGAGTTCCAGGACAGCCAGGGCTACACAGAGAAACAACCCTGTCTCGGAAACCAAAGGGATGAAAAAGATAGAAAGAAAAAGAAAAAAGAAAGGAAGAGAAAAAGAAGAAAGAAAGATGTAAATGTGGTGGAGTTAAAGGGATTTTTTTTCTGTTTTAAGACAAAGTCTAGGGACTGGATAGATGGCTCCATGGGCAAAGGAACCCACATGGTGGAAAGAGAACTGACTCCACAGGTATCCTCCGATCCCCACTGTGTATGGCATGTGTGCACCGTCCAGTGCCCACATCAATGTAGAAAGTATTCATTTGAAGATGAGAGTCTTACTGTGAGACCCTGGCTGGCTTCAGACTTTCAGTCCTCCTGCCTCCATTGCCCACTACACACACACTAGGTGTTGAGATCACAGCTGTGTTTGGAGTGGACAGTTACTCCCCTACCCACCAGTGTTCATGTGTTCCTTTACAGTTCCCATTCTGAGTTCAACTCTTTTCTTTCTCAGATGTTCGATCCAAAAGACAGTATGATGAGAGCCACGTGATCACTGCCCGCAGAGTGAAGAAGGTATCGGCTGTCAGAGGCAGGCAGCCTGGGGACCTTGCAGCAGGAGAGGGAGGCTTTTTCCTGGGTCCACAGGGGGCATCAGCTGTGAGGGACAGGTTGTCAGGGATGGCATATGTTCCATGGATCCCTCCCACATTCCCTGAGTTCATTCTGGTAGACACTCGCTGTTCCTGCCATTGTTAAGTAGGCAGCATGGCTTACAGGCAGGGCGTCTGGGATCTGGGAACTGAGGTCCATACAGCCTGTGTACATACGACTTGGCTGTAAGCTTGGTGCTGGGTCTACTTTGTCTAGTTTCGGGCATCTGGTAGGTCGTCAGTACAGATTGTTGGCACATACAGACCAGTGACCAGAGAGAGGTCTTCTCTCTACCCAGACACTTCCCAATCTTTGTTTAGCATTTTTGTTTGTTTGTATGTTATATGATCATGTGTGTGTATATGTATTATGTGATTGTGCAAGTATATTATGTAATTGTGTATGTGTATTATATGATCATGTGTATATTATGTGATCATATGATTGTGTGTGTGTCTGTGTTCATGTGCCCTAAGTGTATATATGTGTGATATATGCACGGTGTATGTGTAGTGTGTGTCTGTATATTTGTGTGTGTGTCTGTGTGTGTATTATGTGATTGCATGAGTATGTATTATGTGATCATGTATATATATGAGTGTGTATGTGTGATGTGTGTGCAATGTATTTGTGCATTATGGTTGTATGGTGTATTATGTAATCATGTATGTGTATTGCACGATTGTGTGTATATTATGGTTTTTTGTTTGTTTTTCAAGACAGAGTTTCTCTGTATAATGACCCTGGCTGTCCTGGAACTAGCTCTGTAGACCAGACTGGCCTCAAACTCTGTGATTGTCCTTCCTCTGCCTTTCAAGTGCTGGAATTAAAGGCATACACCACCACTGCTGGGCATGTGTATATTATGTGGTCATGTGATCATGTGTATTTAAGTAAGCCAAAGGATTGTAGTTATCTTCTTCTATCACTTTTTATCTTATGTTTCTTAAAATTTTTATTGAATTATTATTTTTTGAAAAGTGTGTGTGTGTGTACATCTGCACACATGAGTGCAGATGCCTGCAGAGTTCAGAAGAGGACATTGGATCAATTGAATCCCCTATAGCTTGAGTTACAGGCAGATATAAGCTGGGAATCAAATAAGATATAAACTGGGAATCGAACTCAAGTTTTCTTCAAGTGTAGCTAGTACTCTTAATTCTCTCTAGCCCCCTTTATTACACCCCACCCCGTGTGTGTGTGTGTGTGTGTGTGTGTGTGTGTCTGTATGTGTGTGTGTCTGTTCCCAGGCCCTGACCCCCGTCTCTCTGTGGGCCATGGGTATGTATCTGGGCATGGCCAGGCCATGCCACATATGTGGAGATCAGAACATAACCTCTACATCTGGGTCCAAGGAATTGAACTTATGTCCTCAGGCTTGTCAGCAAGCACCTTTCCCTGCTGAGCCCTCTCACTGGCCCTTATTCTTATTTGTTTATCTATCTATCTATCTGTCTGTCTATCTATCTATCTATCTATCTATCTATCTATCTATCTATCTATTTGTTTATTGGTTTTTCAAGACTTGGTTTCTCAGTACTGGAACTTGCTCTGTAGAACAGGCTGGCCTTGAACTCACAGAGACCCACCTGCCTCCTGAATGCTGGAATTAAAGGTGTGCACCTTTAATAAGGGCCACCACCGTCTGGCCCTTATTCTTATTTATTATTAGCCAGAGTCTTGGCCTAGGCTGTCCTAGATCACATGACCTCCTGCCTCAGCTTCCCCATGCTGGGATGTCGTGTGTTGACCCCCACCAGGCCACAGGCATCTTCCTGAATGTTCTCTTGAGCTTCTAGACCAATGAGATCTCTCCCCTTTGAGTTGCGGAGATCCTTGTTGGTCTGGATTTCTGTGACCCTTAACTTTCTGCCTTGACACTAAAAAAAAAAATAAAAAAATAAAGTAGAATACATGGGCACTTGTCATAGCCTCCTGCCCTCTCCAGGTGACCTCACCCCCCTCCCCAGGTGAGCTTGTCTTCTCCTCAGATAAGCTCATCACCTCAGTACACAACGCATTTCTTAGTTACTTTTCTCATCTTTGCTGTGACAAAACCCTTGAGGAAAGCGATTGCAGGAAGTAAGGGTGTGGATATTTGAGCTCACAGTTGAGGGATATGGTCCTGTCTTAGTGGGGGAGGCATGATGGCAAGCATGTAAGCCAACAGGTCACATTTTGTCCATAATCAGGAAGCAGAGAGTGGACCAGAAATGAGGCTGATTATAAAATCTCAAGTTTACCCTGTGGTGGTGGCGCACGCCTTTAATCCCAGCACTTGGGAGGCAGAGGCAGGTGGAGTTCTGTGAGTTTGAGGCCAGCCTGTTTACAACGCTACACAGAGAAACCCTGTCTTGAACCACCATAACTTTGCCCCCATAAAAAAATTTAAAAAATAAAAGAGAGAGAGAGAGAGAAAGTGAGCACCAGCATTTTCTCTGCTTCCTGACTATGGACACAGTGTGACCAGCCGTCTCACACTCCAGTAGCCACACCTCATTCCCACAATTAACTGTACCTGCAAACTATGAGCCAAAATGAACCTCCTCCTATAAGCTGCTCTGTCAGACATTCTACCACAGTGGTGGGGACAGTCAGAAATATGATTAGAGACCAAAGAGAAGATCCAAGTCCCTGCCATCCCATATCCTGCATTTGATCTCATGGTACTCTTGGTGACATTCACTTGCTCGGAACTTCTGCTTCAAGACTCAAGTTGTCTTATCATCTTCATGAATGATTTTGGTTTTGGGTCTACTGCCAACATCTCTCGTTCATCAGCCACAGTGCCTCCGAGGAGCTGTGCGTTCAATAATGAACCAACCATTCTCCAGCCAGGCCATCTCCTGTCTAGTCCCCTGCTGCTGTCCTTCTTAGTGGAGGGTAGGGGAGACCCCTCTGGGATTCCAGAGATTCTTCTATCTATTAATGGTGTTTCTGGCTCAGGAGTCAGCAAGGGAAGGAAGACAGGACTCCCCAGCCGCTGCCTCAAGCTCCTCTGGGATGTTGTGCAGGGACAGTATACCCAGCCGAGTCCCTAGCAACAAGTCTGTGTTGTTCCCTCAGAAAGACAACCAGTACCTCATCCCGGAGTCCGTGGATCTGGAGTGCGTGAGATACTGCATCGTGTATGACAGCAACACCAGTTCCCTGGAACTGCGCATCCGGCGGCGGTATGAAGAGGAAGACGAGGAGGAAGAAGAGAAAGGAGAGAGCAATGACAACGAGGAGACTGGTAATGACACCCCAAGAGAGCTCTTCTTAGTGTTTTGGTCTTTTTGGTGTTGTTTGAGAAAGGATCTCTCTTATGTATCCCAGGCTGTCCTGGAGCTCTGTAGACCAGGCTGGCCTCAAGTTCACAGAGATACGCCTGCCTCTTCCTTCTTAGTGCTGGGCTCACAGACATGTGCAGTCATGCCTGGATCATGCAATGCTAGGAACGGAGCCCAGAGTTTCAAGCATGCTATGCAAGCACTTTACCAAGGAAGCCACATTCCCAGCCTTCCCAGGTGGGTTTTTGCAGCCATAGAAAAGACAGTTGACAGTGACTATATTCCTTATTTTTGTGTGGCTGTGACCACATTCCTGAGAGAAACAAAGGAGGAAAGAATGAATGATTTCAGTTTTATTTCCATGTGTGTGCACAGGTCTGTGGAGATCAGAGGTCAACCTCAAGTGTCAGTCGTCAAGTGCCATCCTCCTTGTTTTTCAAGACTGTCTTTGCCAGCCTGGAGAGTCCCAAGAAGGCTAGGCTGGTTAGCCAGTGCGACTCAGGGGTCTACCTGTCCCTGCCTTCCTGGTGCTGGGATTGCAAAAGTATGCCACTGTGCCTGGCTTTATCACGCAGGCTCTGGGGGTTGAACTCAGGTCCTCAGTTTGCAAGGCTAACACTTTACCAACTAAGCCATCTCCTGCATACATGCGTACCTCCACACATGCGAAAACATGCACACACACGTGCATATCACACACACAGGAAAGATAGAAGAAGAGAAAGAGGAGAAGGATGAAGAACAGGAGGAGGAGGACAAAAGAGAAGGTGAAATCACCCACATGCCTGTCAAGTGAGCGCTGTATCACTGTGCAACAAATGATCCAAAAGTCAGTGGCCCTAAAGGACAATATGCTAATTATCATAGCCTTGAGCCCAGAATTCAGGGGCTCAAGCACTTAGCAGGAGACCCAGTGTTTCTCCAGAGGTTATAATCCAAGTGTCAGCCAGGGCTAGGTGTGGTAGCACATGTGTGTAATCCCAGCACTGGGGAGACTGAAGCAGGAGGATTGCTCTGAGTTTCAGGACAGCCTGGGCTGCAGAGTGAGACCATGTTTCAAATGGAAACAAAACAAAACAAAACAAACAAACAAAGATCTGGTCTGGAATTGTAGCTTAGGTAGCAGAGTGCTCATCTAGCATGCATGGAGTCCTTGGTTCACCCTAATACCATGTACTGGATATGATGGTGCACACTTGGATGTGGAGGCAGGATGAACAGAAGTTCAAGGCTGATAGCAGCTACTAGCAAGTTCAGGGTCAGGTTGGGGTACATAAAACCCTGTTTCAAAGTAAATGGTGGAGGGGCTGGAGAGATGGCTCAGAGGTTAAGAGCATTGCCTGCTCTTCCAAAGAGCTTGAGTTTAATTCCCAGCAACCACGTGGTAGCTCACAACCATCTGTAATGAGGCCTGGTGCCCTCTTCAGGCATGCAGGCATAGACACAGACAGAATATTGTATACATAATAAATAAATAAATATTTTAAAAATCAAAGTAAATAGTGGAGTGTAATGGTAGACACCTTTAATTCCAACACCCAGAAGGCAGAGGCAGGTAGATCTCTGTGAGTTTGAGGCTAGCCTCGTCTACATAGCTAGTTCTAGGCCAGCCAGAGCTGTATAGTAAAACTTGATATCTCAGTAAACAAATAAATAAAATCTGATCAGGCCAACCCTCACTACTGTGCAAAAACTGGAACCAGTAGGAGGCTCAGCAGGCAAATGCACTTACCCCCCAATTTAACAACTTTAGTTTGATCCCTAGGACCCCACGTAGTGGAAGGAGAGAATTTGCTCCTACAAGTTTTGCTCCTACATGTGTTTGTGATACATGCCCATGCATGTACACAGAGAGATGAATAAAGTAATACAAAATTAAAAGACTCCGCAAAAGCACATGTAGTCAGCTCCAAGATACTTCATTAAGAATTTGAAGCTGTTTATTATTTTTTCAACCCGATGTTGATGGGATGAGAATGGCCGTTGACACTTCCCTGCCACTGGGGGGCACTAAGATTCCACCTTTAACAACATTGCCATCAAGACTCTTTCCAAGTGGTCTTTGACTTGGAAATTTCTTCTTCCGTGTGTGGGTTCCTTTGGGCTACAGTTTGTAGATATTTGCTAGTTTTGAATCAGTCTCATATAGCCCAGCTAACCTCCAGTTCACTAACTATGTAGCTGAGGATGATCTTGACCTTCTGAAGTTCCTTTCTCTACCTTCTGAGTGCTGGAATTACAGGCATATGCCACCATGTCATATGCAGTGCTGGGGGTGGACCCAGGGCCTTGGGCATGCTAACTAGGCAAGCTCGCTACCAACTGAGCTATGCCCCTAGCCCTCTGTTTGTTTGTGCATTTTGGGCTGGAGAGATGGCTCAGCGATTTAAGAGCATGGACTGCTCTTGCAGAGGACTTGAGTTGGAGTCCCAGCATTCATGTAAGGCGACTCGCAACTAACTGTAATTACAGCTTCAGAGCATCTGACCCTCTAGTGTGTGAGGGCACCCCAGACACACATAATTAAAACTTTCTGGAAATTATATTTTATGTACATATGGTGTGTGTGTGTGTGTGTGTGTGTGTGTGTGTGTGTGTGTGTGTGTGAAGCATGCTATAGTGTCTGTGGATTCTGCCATGTAAGTCCTAGGGATCAGACTCAGGTGGTCAGGCAGCTTTGTAGCAAGTGCCTTTACTCTCTGAGCCATCTCTTTGGCCCCACCTTTTTTGAGACAGGGTCTCACATAGCCCAGGCTGTCAGCGACATCACTGCAGCTTGAACTTCTGACCCAGTGCTGGAATTGCTGGTGTGTGTGACATGCCCAGCTTGTTCATAGTTTTACCCTGGATCACTAAGGACCAGGGCTGGTGAGGTGGCCCAGCAATAAAGGTGCTTGCTACCAAGCCTGACAACCTGAGTTTGATCCCTGGACTCACATGGAAGGAGAGAACCATCTTTCACAAGTTGACCTCTCACCTCCATATACATGCTATGGTAGATGCATGCCTCCTACAAGTAAGTAAATAAGTAAATAAATGAGTGTAATTTTAAAAAAAACAATATTTTTACTCTGTAAGGGGTGGCATTGTGCTATTGAGTTTCCCACTCAGAAAGAGACCACAGCCGAATGTAGCATTTCCACTCTAGGCAACTTTCCTCAGTTAAAATATTGATGCCTTTCAGGTTGGACCTGGTGACACACACTTATAATCCTAGCATTCAGGAAACAGAATAGGCAGCTCTCTGTGAATTCCAGGCCAGCCTGATCTACATAGGGAGTAATAGGCCAGCCAGGGCTATGTAGTGAGACTATGTCTCAAGAAAAGAAGAAACAAAATGAAAGGATGCGTTTGTGAAGCAGGGTTCTAGAATGGTACCTTTCAGTCAGTGTGGCAGTGCACACCTGCTGCACTACCACTACCAGTAAGTTAAGGCCAAGAGATCAAATTGTTATCCTCCTGCCTCCATCTCTGGAGATGGGATTGCAGGTATGTACCGACATGCCCAGCAGCTATTCTTGATAAAACAGTAAGCATGATAGCTCCTGAAACTGCTTGGTGAAGTTCTGTGGCAGTTCCCAATTATCACTAATGTTGACCTGTAGTTGTGGAATGTAGGTCTCCAGAGGTGGAGAGGCAGATATCTAGGCTAAAGGTAACAGCCTCATTGTGGCCTAGGACTTCTAGCCCAACTCCCCTGTGGCCTCTGACCCACTAGTCTCTTGCTCAAGAGAGATATGCTGGTGCCCTGTAGCCTACTGTCTGGACTTGGGGACCTCTAGCCAGGTCTCATGGGGATGGGGGGTGACTTCTGCCTGAACACCTCCCACCATGGTTTACAGACCAAGGTTCATCCTCCAGATAGGTCCCTGTCATTTATGTCCTGATCAGTCCCTTGTCTTTGAGAACAGTTCAGTTTATTTAATCGAACTCATTTATTTTTCTTTCCCTAGTTGATTTTCCTTTGAACTTAAGGAGGCCGGAGGATAGCATTAGGTGTTGATCCTCAGGTGCTCTTCTCGTTCTAGGAAGTTTTGTAAATTACGTTGTTTTTTAGAGTGGGAGTGTCCAGAGCTTGTGTGTGTGTCAGCAGGAGCCAGTTCCCTTTTCCACCATACAGGTCTTGAGATGGAAACTCTGGTCATTTAACTTGGTGACAGTCACCTTTACACACTGAACCATCTTCCTGGCCCCACCTTACTTTTTGAGTCTCTTATTATGTATAATTCACCAGTTCAGCTGGGCTGTCTTGCCGTGGAGCTCCAGGGATCAGTCCATCTGCACTGATGAGACCATTGATGTGATTACCAGCACACACGAGCAAGCCTGGTGTTTTTATGTGGATTCTGGGATGGAACTCGGGTTTTCAGGCTTCTGTGATGCTCTCCTGACTGAGCCATCTCCCCAGTCCCAGGATGTCCTGGGCCAGGGAGGGTGTCTTGGCTGAGGCAGGATGGTGCAGACACTCTGTGGAAGCTGTGCGAGGTTTCCGTTAGTGACTTTCTTGCTCCTGTTGTGACAGAAGAGCTAACAGGACCAACTTAAGAGAGCAGGGATGGGTTCTGGCTCATGATTCCAGAGGGTGCAGTCTGCAGTCATTGGCATCATGGGTCTGAGCATGGTCTCACCTGTCGGAGTGGAGTGGAGGAGGCTGTTCAATTCATGGCAAACCGGAAAGCAGAGAGCAGGGATGAGCATTTGTGCTCTGCCAGTTAACCCACCTCACGTGTGTGTGCACACAGGGGATGGACACATGTGCCATGATGTGCATGTGGAAGTCAGAGGACAGTGGGCAGGAGATGGTTCTCTCCTACCCTGTGGCTTCCAGAGGTGGAATTCAGGTCCTCTGACTTGACAGCAAACACCTGGACCCTCTGAGCCATCTCACTGCCCTCCATTTCCTCTTTTCATCTGTCCCAGCACCCAGCCCACTAAGTGGTGCCACCACACTCACGAGAGATCTTCCATCCTTGGGTAATTCTTCCTGGACACACCCTCACATTTGCATCCATCGATATGTCTCCACAGTGCCCAGACAAGTGGATAATGAATATTAACTGTTGTATAGCATAATTACGATTCAGGAAAGAGTTTAAGGTCTAAATTTCTATCAGACCATTAAAAGAGGATCAGTGAGATGACCCTGGGACCCACACGGTAGAAGAAGAGAATAGACTCCTGCTACAGGGCTGATTTCCACCTATGACACGTTTACAGTCTCTCTCTCTCTCAGCAGTCAGACACAGCGACACAAGCCTCTAATCCCCACACTCAGGAGGCTGAGTCAGGAGGATAATGAAGATAATGAGTTCCAGGCAGACCGAGCTCCATAGATCTCATCTCACAAACAAGACCAAACTACAAGAGGGTGTTACTTCACACTCTCTAGGGTGGGCATAATAAAAAAGACAGATAATAACAAATGTTGATGAGAATGTGGAGACACCAGAACCGTTACACACCATTGAACACAGTGTAGAAGGGCCTGGGCACATTGGTTCATGACTGGCCACAGTTTTAAAGGCAAATCTGGGCTATGTAGTGAGTTCTCGGCAGGGCTCTGCTTCAGAGGAGACCCCAACTCAGACAACAAAATGAAATCAGAGTCAGGAGAACAGGAGAAAGTGCTATGAACAAACCCAGCCTCCAAATACTTGCTCACACTGTCTATAACTCCAGTTCCAGAGATCCCTTGCCCTGCTCTGACTTCAGGCACTGCAGGTAAAGCACCCATAAACAATTTAAAAATTTTTAAAAACAAGTTAAGTTTCCATTCTTCTCTATACTTGACTCAGGTATTGTTTCCTAATTTTATTTGATGTGCCCCTTTACTTGGATTTCTAAGTAATTGGTTTTTAGATGGAAGTGCTATCCATTCTAACACTAGGCAAATGCTAGAACACCTTGTATATCTCTTTGGTCTCCACCTGTAGAACTCTTACCTGGACCTGCTGTGGAATTTGGACAGATGCTCACCCTCTTTACCCGCCAACCTGTCTATGTCCTCAGAGGAGGTTACGAGTGCTTCTCTGGCCTGTACCACTTCTTCCGGACCCAGAAGATCATCTGGATGCCACAGGTGAGGCCAGAGGATGAGTGTTCACTACCAGGAAGTGAGGCTGGAGACTGACAGGTAAGTGGAGGCAGAAAGAGAGAAGATGCGGGAGAGGACATAGAAGAAACGGAAGAGCGGAGAAATGAGCCCGGAACAACTGGGGAGTTCAGTCCATAATGACAAATTCAGAGTTAACACATTATGGAGAGGCCAAGCATGAGGAGCTAGAGAGGGTGTGGTTTTGGGGGGCAGTTTGTTAAATCAGACAGTGCCAGAGTTGACTCAGAAATGTTCCCCATAGCATATGCCTTGAACAGTTTTCCCCAGTCAGAATCCCTCCTAGACAGTCACAAAGCCTTTAGGAGATGAAGTCTGGCAGGTGGAAGTAGGTCCTGGGGTGGGAGCTTTCCTCACTGCCATGAACAGGACCCTACCACTGTGCCTTCCCCACTATGATGGATTAAAATCTCTCTGAAATTGAGAGTCATGATAAACCTTTTCTTTTCTAGTCTTTTGTACCAAAAATGCTACTAGATTTCTTTTTTTCTGATTACATTTATTTGTTTTGTGCTCTGTGTGTGTGTGTGTCCATGCATGCTTACAAGTGCCATGAGGGCACGGAGTGTCAGTGTGGAGACTCGTTCATGTACTGTGACGCTGTGGGCAGTTCTTGTTTGCACTCCAGCCTCTGGCTTTTTATGGGAGGGATTTGTTGTCGATGTATTTGAAACTCAAGCTCCCATCTCCCTCACTGCTCTGGGACTGCCCTTCTGAGGTCACCTTCAAAGCTACCCCTCCAGGGATGGACCTCCCTTCTATTCTGTGGTGTACCTGTGGCAGCCTTCTTCCTTCCCACTCCAGGAACTGGATGCCTTCCAGCCATACCCTGCTGAGATAATGCCAGGCAAGATCTTCCTGGGCAAATTCAGTCAAGCCTGCAATGCTAAGATTCACAAGGATTTGAAAATTAAAGCCCATGTCAATGTTTCCATGGAGGCAACACCCTAGTAAGTAAAGGTGATACGTGTGTGTGTGTGTGTGTGTGTGTGTGTGTGTGTGTGTGAGTGTGCACACACATGCATGGGCCTGTGCATATGGAGACCATGGGTTGATGTTGGGTGCCTTCCTCTGCCAGTCTCTACTTTATTTAGTTATTTACTTTCAGTTTTTTTGAGATAGGGTTTCTTTGTGTAGTACTTGCTGTGTACACCATGCTGACCTTGAATTTACAGAGATCCTCTGCCTCCCGAATGCTGTAGTTAAAGACATGAGCCACCACTGTCTAGCTCTCCACTGAGGGAGAACACTGAGGTGTTCATGGACTGGACAATCTGGCTATCCAGCAAGCTTGGGGTATCTGTCTTGGTACCCCAAGCCCTAGATTTACAGATGTGTGCCCCTATTAGCCCAGCTTTTTATGCAGATGCTAGGGATTGTAACGCAGGTCCTCACACTTGTGCAACAGGCATTTTGCTGACTGGGTCTCCCCAGCTCCTGATTTTTATTTTAGGGTAAGAGTCATTAATTTATACATGTTTCCTACTGCCATAGTTTGTTGTGGCTATTTTTTCCTTCAGTACTAGAGATTAAACCCAGATCTCTCACACACTGGACAAATGCTCTTCTGTTGAGCCAGCCCCATTCCTTCACTGGAAAATTCCAGCAGAATGCTCTACCACTGAACCACACCCCAGCCTCTCACTGAGGGTTTCTAGGCAGGTGCTCCACCACTGAGCCACACCCCAGCCCCTCACTGGGGGATTCTAGGCAGGT